TCCTGCGCTTCTGACTGTACCCAGTGCTTGTATAAATAGATAAATAAATAAATCTTAAAAAAAAAAAATAAGGGGGTTGCAATTGTATGGGGAATATAAAAATAAAATTAAAAAAAAAAAGAAATTGGCGTCTAAGGATTTTTCATTTCTATAGCTGGTTAATGGCTATATTAATCACTTCTACCCCCACCTCCAGCTCTCAGCATTGCATGAGCCAGGTTTCTGGTCTTGTAGTGCCTCCTCTCCAACTTTTCTACTCTTAAGCGCCATCAGTTTCCTTTTAAACACCCAAAGTTACCCATCCCCTTGTGGGTAAATGCCCAGACAACCACGGTTGGCCCAAAGCGGGGCCATTGAGGACTGAAAGTTTGCCACAAGTCTATGGCACGTTCTGGTGGGGACACATAGGAAAGGGGCAGAGGACCAGCTAAGTCTGCAAGGAAAAGAGCAAGATCAAAATACATGTCAAGATAAAGGCTGCCATTGTCAGCCTCCCCATGGGCCTCTCACCCACCTCTCTGTCTCTTTCAAGTCTCTCCTTCCATGTCCCCCAAGTCCCTGGTACAAGTCCAAGGCCAAGAAGCAAGTGCAGTTTCTTCACATGTCTCTCTGCTCCATGTGCCTCCTACAGACTTCCTCTTAGTCCTCTTCTTTCCTTCCTTGATTCCTTTCCTTCCTTTCTGGAGTCCTTTTAGCTTCCCCTGGCTGCTCAGCTCTGCCCTTTCTTGGGTGGGGCTGGGAAGCTGGAACCTCCCCTTTCTGTGGATATCACACTTACACGTTTCCTAGTAAACTTTCCTTTTAAAATATAACCTTTCCTGGGCCTCCCCTGGTGACGTAGTGGTTGAGCACTGGGCTGCGAGGCTGCCCGCAGCCTCTGCAGCGCCGGTTGGTTCCCTGGCCGCTGGCGAGGGTCCCACAAAAATAAATAAATAAATAAAGAAAGAAAGAAAGAAAGAAAGAAAGAAAGATATAACCCTCCCCTGCCTGTGTCTGTGCAAATGTCTTCATCTCCTGGGTAAACTCGCTGTTTGTCCCTGAAAGGGGAGCTCTGCTGAAACTTTCCTCAGAGGGAACCCAAGGACCCGACTCACCAAACCCTACACTCTTTAAAAGGACATGGAATACTGCTTTTAATGAGACCGAAATTGCAAGTGTAGTCCTGGCTCCTTTAAAGCACAGTGGCTCTTGGGGACTTCAGGAGCCTTGCTTTTCTCTGGGGTTCACTTCAACTATGAAAAGCCTCTGAATTTTCCTTGGAAGATAGGAAAAGCAACGCCCATCAGTATTTTAATCTATTCAGTGAAGTCTTTACTCCTTGTACCATCTTAGTCTCTAAATCCATTTCTTCACCTCCACAGAATTCTCAGAGAACTTGTGGGTGTCAGAGCACCGGCCTCCTGGTGCCTCTCTTTCCCTTGGCCTCCATGGTATGGATGATTCCCCACATCTCTGATCATTCTTTCTCAGTTTCCTTTGGGGACCCCCAGTCACCCTCAAATGTTGTTGTCCCTTGGGTCTTGAGCCTGCTCCTCTTCTCAGGCTGTTCAGGAATCCCCCCCTCCAAAATATCCAGTCCCAGCTTGTCTTCTGACCTTGGTGTCCAGCTGCCTACTGGACAGTCCCAACCATATGCTGCTCAAGCAAACCCCATAAATCTAAAACAAATTCACCATCCCTCCCTCAACCTGCAGCTCCTCCTGGATTACCTGTCCCAGGCTGCTGTCCAATCCAGAGCCATGCCAGCTATTCTCTCCCTCCTTTCGGCCTCACTCTGCACCCCACGCCCCAAAGCTAACTGCTATGTCACAGCCTCTGCCTTCCCAATGATTCTCAAATCCATCACCTACTTTCCATCCCAAACCTACTGCCAGCCCATCATCTCTCTCCTGGACTATTTCACTACTCTCCTGATGGCTCCCCAACTCCATCCTCACCCCCTTCACCCAATCTTCACAGGGAGCCACAGCCATCTTGCAGAAATACCTTTTCAACAAAACTATGTCCTTCCATGTTTAAGATCCTTCAAGTTTCCTCCCACCCCTAGGACAAATGGTTGACAATGGTGGCGAGTCCTCTGGTCCCTGCCTAGCTGCCAGGACCATCTCTCATGGAGCCTTGTCTGTCGCCCTAGGGCATCAGCTCTGCTCATGAACCTGAACAATGCCATTCTAGGACCTGGCCCCTCTTGCTTCCCGGCCAACTCTCACCCACATTTTAAGTCACCATTTTTATCTTACTTTCTCTATGAAATCTTTCCTGACCCTGCTCCGCCCCCAGAGAAGAAGTTTGATCCTCCATCCTTTATCCGCTCCTGCCCTCTGTGCCCCTCCCCTCATGCCCAGGAAAGCCATGGTGCCCTGGCATTCGTTTGCCACTAGACTGCAACTCCCTGAGGTCAGGATCCAAGTCACGGTCTTCCCTGTACTCCCAGCACAAGTCCATGTAGCACAAGACCAGCACAGAGCAGGCCCTCTGCGAATGTCTGCTGAAGGAATGGATGGACAGACAGATGGACAGTGAGAAATCTCTGGCGCAGCCTGATGCGCTGTCTCTGGGATGCTGTGAGAAGCTAAGTCAGTCACATGCTCTTCAGTTCAGCCTCACACCCAGGTCCCCCTTATTGGGGATAAATAGGAAAAAAGTACTTGACACAGGAGGGGAGAAAGAAGATGAGCCAGGGGAAAGAGTGTGTCACACTGAAGGTGAGAGGCCCAGAGAGAAGTCCCAGCAGAGGCACCCACCCACTTTTCTTTTCTTTTCTTTTCTTTTCTTTTCTTTTCTTTTCTTTTCTTTTCTTTTCTTTTCTTTTCTTTTCTTTTCTTTTCTTTTCTTTTCTTTTCTTCTTTTCTTTTCTTTTCTTTTCTTTTTTTAGATTTATTTATGCATACAAGAGTTGGGGTAAAGGCCAGAGGTGCAGGGGATGAGAGGATTCACCAGAGACAGAGTGGGGAGCAGAATGGACGGATCTACTGAAATACACTGCTGAGGGGGTTAGCGGGCGAGACAGGTACCATGTGGGTAGCTCCCTGGCCAGGGATTGAACTCATGTTGCAGTAGCCGTGGACCACCTGACAGTGCTGATGCCTAACCCCTTGCACCACCAGGGAGACCCAGCACCCACTTTTCAAAGCTGCTGTTCTGTTTTTTTTTTTTGGGGGGGGGAGCAGGACGTTCTCCTTTAAATAACAGGGAAGAAGGGGAAGTTGAGAGGACAGGAGCTGTAGGAGGAAGGAGGGAGATGTCACTAAATAGCGCATGGCTGGCCACAGAGAAGGCTCCTGGAACTTAGCATCTCATCCCGCCCTCCCCTACATCCCTGTTCCTCTCGCCCTTTCACAGATGCAGAGCCCCAGGCCCAAGTGAGCTGTGTCTAGGCCCAGGCCAGTTTATAGTTTGTAAACATGTTGTAAATCTGGTTTAGCAGGCAAGACAGCAAAGACATCTTCACGGGGACCATCCTGTGCATCTGCTACCTGAAGGTAAAGTCAGTCTTTTCAGGTAAAAAAAAAAAAAAAGAAAAGAAAAGTAACAGTGGTCACCCAGCCTTGCATCTATGCAGCGCATTCATTAGCAAGGGGGGCAGAAAAGGAAAAAATTTAAATCCTGCATGGCCTGCCTCTTGCATCAGCATCAGCATGGCTTTAGGTCAGGACAACCTAGAGCTAGAAGCCTCTGCTGTCAACAATTACATTCACAACATCAATGACTCACTGCTTCTACCCATACAAACTAAATCCAAACTTGTGTTGGCCTATTAATATGCAGCACTGTTCGGAGAACTGTGATGATGCCCCTTTGACTCTGATATCAAAGTGAGATGAACCGGGAAGAAGAGACTGAGTAGAAAGGGGTCCCTGCCAGCTGCTCCCGCAGCCCTCCCCCCTCCCTAGGGTGGGGCTTGATTTATAGAGGATAGAGACAGTTAGGGCTTTTGTTTTTGTTTTAAAGCCAAGGAGGGTTCATTGAGGTAAGCACAAGGCAGGAAAAAAAAGAACTCATTTTCAAGGGGTTGTTAACTCCCACACAGGGCAATGCCTACCTTAACTCCTGATCTCTGGTAGGTAATTTGTGTGTAAGAAAAGCTAGAGTTTAGGGTCTCCCTGGTGGGGCAAGGGGTTAAGTCTCAGCACTATCAAGCTATTGGCAGCCACTGCAGGGTGAGTTCCATCCCCGGCCAGGGTGCTACCCACATGGCACAGCAGACCTCTCCTGCCTCACCCCCTGCTCCCCTCAGCAGTGTATTTCAGTAGGGGCCAGTTCAGCTCCCCACTCTGTCTCTCACCCCCCATATCTCTGACCTACACCTCAGCTCTTGGATGCATAAATAAAGAAAATAAATCTTAAAAAAAAAAAAGAAAATCTAGAGTTTCAGAGGCAGAAGTTTTTTTTTTTTTATTATTTTACTTCGTCCTCTGTGGGAGCCAGGGGAGAGGGCTCAGCCTTCAGCCTCAGCTCAGGTTCGAGCCCAGGGCTGCACAGGTCAGCGCTCCTCACAGCAGGCCCACATTTTATTTTGTTTCCTTTCATTCTTGTGTTTAGGGAACAGGGCTGGTGGGCTGTTTTCCCTGCTCCAACCGTCATTTTGACGATCTAATAAACTCTTTGTCTATCCCCTAGAATTTATTGTCAGTTAACAGCTGAAAAGGCAGGATTAGAACTTGGCTCTGACCCTGCCGGCCGGTACAGGCAAGCGTGACCCGGCTTTCCCCTCTCCACCTTTCCCCTCTCCACCTTTCCCCTCTCCACCTTTCCCAAGCGTATCTGATCTCTCAGATTCCAACTCCACCCTCCCAGGCGACAGACAAGAAAACCTAGAGAGGTTCGGGGCAGGTGTAAGAGACCGGGGCTCTGGGACAGGCACAGTAGGGTCGCGGGGGAGTCTGTGCCCCCCGCCCTCCCCGCGCCGGCCGGCCGGGCTGCCCGGGACTTGGGGGGCCGCGCGCTGGGCTCCGCGCCATGACATCAGCCCTGCCGTGGTGCAGTGTGCAAAGCCCACTGGTTGGCGTGGCCCCGGACACGCCTTCAGCGAGCGGAACAAAACCGGGAGCAGGAGGGGCCACCCAGACCGCGCTTCTGAGAGGTTTCCCGCCCGCGCACCCCCAGAACCCGCTGCCAGGTGAGTGTTCCCCCGGGGTTTCTCGCGGGCTGCGGGGCCCTAGCGCCGGCCCCAGGGTCTGTCCCGCCGCGCCGTCGCCGGGGGCTGCAACGAAAGCTGGAGGCCAAGTGGCGCGGGCAGGGGGCTGTCGCGGGCCGAGAGTCCGGTAAGTGGCCGGAGTCAGCCTGGGGGACGCTTCTCTCTCCAGAAGGCGCTGGGTCCCACCCAGCCTAGGGCTTCCTGGACACAAATGGACCCTGAGTGACCCTGACCCTGACACGAGCGGCCAGGCGCCCACACTCTCCCCGCCCCCCTGCCTGCAGGGCCCGCAGCAGAACAATTGAGGATTCTGAGACCCACTGATGCGCTTTGTGCGGCTGGGGGATGAGGACATCCGTGCCACCCTCCCCTCCCTCCTGCTCCCAGGGGAGCCTGTGCGCGGGTGGGGGGTAGCAGCTGCCTTCGTGGGCCAGCCTGAGTGCAGGTGTGTTTTCAAGCTCCCAGAAGAACTAGAAGCTGCAATGGTTCACCTCCCTCCAACCCAAGAGTTGGCACCAGGTGGGGACAGTACTGAAGTCTGAGAGAACCCACAGTGAGTGTTGTGTGGCCTCAGCCTTGACAGCTGGACTGACAGTGAGAAAGGGCTAGTGTTGAGCACATTGAGAGCAAGGCACTAAGCAGCCTCTGAAGCCCGCGTTTCGTCAACTCTAGAATATTCTGTATGCTCCTGGCTCCTCGGCTGCTGCCATCCACTCAGAACTGGTTATAGGTTGCAGCATGAGGGTGGACTCAGGCCCTTCCTTTCTCAGCTGAGAGGACCCTGCTTTGGGGACCCTGTTATTTGGGGCCAAGATATCCTCTGAGCTCTAGGAGGGAGTGCATTGAAGAGGCAGCCTGAATCTCAAGGGGGGCATTGGACTGACAGAGTTTTGACTGGAATTTGCCACTTCACACACACCGGAGACCCTGGGCTCCTGATTTAACTTCTCAGTGCTCTCAGTTTTGGGGGGAATGTCCTTTGGGAGTATTTTACACACAGGGATGCAGGAATGCTCGCTGACTCTCCCCCCCTCAGCCCCCTATCTGAGCCCTTCCTAGGAACACGGAGGTGCTGGCTGCCTCTCCCTGTCATCTTAGGGTGCAGGTTGGGGATTTCCCCAGGTGGGATTTGGGGACAAGGCTGCTGGGCTTCCCTGCTCTCACTCAACACCAGCTTCGGAGCCCCCAAGCAGGCTCCGCCCAGGGCCAGCTCTTAGAACAGAAACACCATCCTTAACCCTTAGCTGCTAGTGGTAGCTTTCATCCTACCCTCTCAGAACATCCCAGCTTAGCAGCTCCAGCCTCCCAAAGCGAGTTCTGGGGACTGACCTCTGCCTCAGGGAGGATATCCGGGGCGGGGGTGTGGAGGTTGGGGGGGGGGCATCTAACAGGGAAGGAAGTTGATCCCACAGAGGGTGTGGCCAGAGGCGCCACCGTTAGCTGCCCCCAAGTAGAGGGTCTGCGGAGGTGCGGGGGAGACTGGAGCACTGGCTGTCAGCATGCGACTGCCTGTGCGAGAACGTGAGGCCTCTCCGCTCTGAGCTTGCCTTGCCTCACTGCAATTCTGCCTTGGAGCCAGCAAGTCCTCTCCAGGCCCAGTTGCAGCCTGGGAGTGTATTGTTGACATTTGGTTGGTGATCAGTAAATATTTGGAAAATGAATAGGGTAAGAATGGGCTTTTGGCAGAGCTTCTGTACAAGACACTAAGTGACCTTGTGAGTAGTGACCAGCCAGCTTTTCCTTGTGAGTAGAATCGAGGACCCAGTTGGAGTGGTGGGGGCGAGGGAGGGGAAGGCATAGTTCTTATTCACTGTGTGTCTCCTGGTGGGAAAAACAACCTGGGAAGGCTTTTGTGGTAGGCTGCCACTGTTTTAAATATTTATGCAAACAGGGCTTATTGTAAAAAGTTGGCCTCCTGCAGGACTGTGAAGAGCCTGGCTTTCACAGAGGTGATAATGAGGGGCCTTAAACAAAGTGGCACTCCTGCAAATGAAAGGACCCTTTCCTCTAAGGCAACCACTTGTCAAAGTTCACACAAAAAGAAACAATAGCCTAAGAGTGGCCTTCCTGGAATGACAGGAGGCAGGCTCTCTGCACTGTCTCCCAGGATCCTCTACGTGTGGTCTCTGGGACAGTCTCAGAGGTAGGTGCCGTGTTCCCATTTTACAGATGAAGACACTGAGGCTCAGAGGTGATAAGTAACTTGCTCGTATTGCGGCCCATCCCTGAGCAGCCCACTCAGACAGGCAGGCTGCTGCCCAGTCTACTGCCCCTGAGCCATTATCTGTAGTGGCTGCTTTGCATTTCCTATTTCTAGATCAACGCACTAAAGAATGTCTGTCATTTGTGAAACAGGTTAGCTTTGCAGCTCCTTGTAAACCATTTAAGGAAGTTGGGGCTCTGACTACTGTCAGAGAATGGGGGTGGGATCAGGGCTGGAATGGCATGGCCCAGGAAGAGAGGGGCTCTGGAAGTTAGGATCCCGATCCCAAGTCTAATGTGTGTTTGAATTTCAGGGAAGAGAAGCCTGGAAAAGAGCCTACTTGGGAAACACACACACACACACACACACACACACACGCACCTGAGTGTAAAGTAGGGGGAGTGAGCAGGGGTGTACTGAGTACTGACTGGAGCCACTTTGCCGGCTGGTTTCCAGTTGTCAGGGATTTCTGTGGTAATGACGGACAGAGCTACGCAGCTCCCCAGGAATTTGTCTGACGTCAGCATGGAGCAATTCCCATGTATGGTAAAGTGTGTAAATACCGAGGCAGCTAGCATTTCCAGACGCTGGCATTTCCAGTCCTTCCCCAGGCCAAAGGCAGCGTCTGATTCTTCAAAGTGACACAGGAGGAAGAAATAGAAGATTTGCAGATGGAGCACAGGCCCCTCCCCATCAGGCAAGCAGACACATCCTGCCCAGTGGGCCTGCAGTTCTTTCTACAGGGATGGCGTGGGCTGGGCTTCCTAAGAGGTCAGCTGCAGACAACCTGTTTTTGTAAGGTCTGTAAGCACTTTTATAAGTGCTAATTTGGTTTTGCTTTTTAAAAATTAGTCAAGAATTAATCAAGAAAAAAATCTTTCAGCTCTTTTCAGCTTGAGATAACCAACTGTTACCCCTCTAAGTTGATACCATTCCAGATTAAAAAAAAAAACAACATGCAAAGCAACTTGATCTATGAATTTGTCTGTGAATGCTTATTATAATATAGGATTTCCTGGAGTGGCTTTGGAATACTGAAAAGAAACCTTTGGCCTCCATTTCTACCTTTGTTGGCCTTCAGAATTCTGAACTCCAAGGGTGGAGTTTGCTGAAAAAGGCATTGGGGGTAGCAGGAGAGGAAGAGACAGCACCACCCATGTCAGCTCACAATCTCACAGGGCCAAGGGACACAGACTTGGGAAGAAAAAAATCCCACCACAGAGAACGAGAGAGCTGAGCTGAAACGGCAGTCCGCGTCCCCTGGGAGCCAGAGTAATCATGGCTCAGTGATGCTCATTAACTTCTTGAGAGCTGAGGCGTGAGCAGGGCTCCCAAGAAATCATGGGTAATGTGGGGCTGAGGCCAAGCTGTGCTCCATGTTGGCATTTGTCTCCCCACACCCCACCCATCAGTGACCATTACTTTCAGGGCATGTTTGTTTCTCGGGTTTTCAGTATCACCTCCAAGATGTTGACTCTGAACCCAGGCCAACGCCCCTCTTCTCTCCTTCCGCTCCTTGACTGCCCTCCAGATGTGGGGGTGTGGTGTGGAGATAGAGGCCGAGCTGTGGGTTGGAAAGGATGGCAGTGCTCCTGAATACCTGGCCACATTCCAGCCCAGGTAATGCAAGCAGCACATTTCCAACCAAGCACCTGACAGGTTTCTACCAGACCCAGTGGGTGGGTACTTGAGCTCTGTGCTCAGAAGTCACTCTTTGCCCCTGAGGAACAAGAGATTTTAGAAGGGCAGATGGGATTTTCCACTGGAGTAATAAGGATGTGGCATCAGTGGCTCATCAAATAAGTGGTTTGATATGAGGGGGCAGGACTCTCCATCAATCACTGGTCCCGTGGAAATTGTCAATGTTCAATGTTGTGTGTGTTCCACTCAAAACAAGTTGCGTGTTTCTAAGATGGCTTCTTCAACGTGAAGCTTGACCATACGGGACCCACCATCTCGGCTTAGCCTGTACGTGGAGTCTGTGCTGTGTCTGCTCAGGCTTTGGCTGGGTTCAGGCCACCATCTTGGATCTCTCCCTCAAGATTGAGGGTCTGGATACAGCTCTTCATGGGCCAGCTGGTTCTCGAGGTGTGAGCATCAGAAACCCAAGCGAGGTGCTTATCACAGGATGGCAATCTTTTTTCTTTTTGAAGGAAACAATTTTATTTATTTACTTATTTCTTCATTGAAGTAACATTACATAAGAGGCCAATCTTTTTTTTTAAGATTTATTTATGCATGCAAGAGCTGGGGTATAGGCCAGAGATGTGGGGGGGTGAGAGGACTCACCAGAGACAGAGTGGGGAAAAGAACAGACAGACTGACTGAAATACACTGCTGAGGGGACCAGCGGGAGAGAGAAGAGAGGTCTGCTGAGCCATGTGGGTAGCTCCCTGGCAGGCCAGGGATAGAACTTGTGCTGCAGAGACTGCTGATTGCTTCATAGTGCAGTGTTTAACCCCTTGCTCCACGAGGGAGGCCCCAAGAGGCCAATCTTTGACTTCCAATTTCCAGCCAGTCCTGAGAATCTTGACTTTTCAGGTAAATAGCCAACCCAATACATTTAGCAGAAAACTTCAGCTATTGAGATCATCAACATGTGACAAAGAACAGATGGAACATGGACAATTTCCAGTGAGAATGTCACTCTGAAGGGAACCGTTGTGGGCCTCGCCAGTGGCACAGTGGGTTGAGCGCAATGCTGTGAAGCTGTCTGCAGCCTCTGCAACACCAGTTTGATTCCCGGCCAGCCAGGGAGATACCCACATGGCGCAGCAGACCTCTCCTGCCTCACCCGCTGCTCCCTTCAGCAGTGTCTTCGGTCTGTCTGCCTGTTCTGCTCCCGCTATCTCTCTGGTGAATCCTCTCACCCTTTTGCGCCTCTAACCTATACCCCAGTTCTTGCATAAATAAATAAAATCTTTAAAAGAAAAAAAAAAGAAAAAGGGAACCATTGCAAGCCCAATGTGGACAGTGTGATAAGGAGGACAGTAGAGTGTCCTGATCACTCACAACAATACACAAGAGTTGCATGTCAGGATTTGTCTGTATCTCAGGTAGCCTGGGGGAATTAACCCCAAAGAAGGACAAGTCCCTGGTCCCAGACTCATTCACTGGGATGACAGATAAGTCAGGAATCCTTGATCCTTATTTGGTAGGTAGCTTCTCAAGCCTTGTTCCTTCCAAGTGTGGACTAGTTGGGAAGAAGAGTAGACATCTGGCCCCAAGTCTGGCAGGATGATAAGACATGGCCAGGCCAGTCCTGTTAGTGCTTGTCAGAGGGATGAGCAGTCAGCCAGGATTTCATTTAATCCCTTGAACCGCTTTTAGGAAGTCCGTGTGTTATAGGACAGCCCCGATATTGAACGGGTTGCCTGGCTGTGGGTCCTCACCCACGCGCTTAAAAGGGACTTATGAATACTCCACTACAGGCACACACAAAAGGTTAATAAAAGGTTTATTTACAAGGGAAAAGGAAATAAGGAAAATGTACAACTCAGGGAGAAAATAGGGAAATAAAGTCTTTAATGCGTCCTACCCGATCCGCCGACCTGGAAACCCAAAGTCACTCTCAGAGCTGGCCGGATGCTGCGAGCTGGCGGAGAGCCCAAATGGGGGACCTCCCCAAAGCCCACGTCTTTATACTCACTTGGCTCCACAAAGCCTGTATGAAATTAGTTTAGGACATCCTTTTCCCCCTAACACGTGCATGGTCCAGTTTAGAGACAAGCAGGTTGAAACTCAGAGAGGAAAGTAACTTGCCCAAGATTACCCATCTAGGAAGAGATGACTCCAGACCCCACTTTCCTAAGCACTGAAGAAGAGCACATTGAATTTTGACCCCGGGAGCTTCTCTCCCTCCAGTATCAGGGAGGGCCTCTGTTCCCCAGAACTGGAAAGGCAATTAAGAAGGAGCCAGGCATCCCTCTCCACACTCCAGGAGCTCAGAAGCAGGTTTCCTTTTAAGGCAATCCAGCTGTCCCCATAGGCAGCCTGCCTGCTGAATTTGGCTGCTAAAGAGAAGGGGCTGGGCTAAAAGCAGGGGTGGGGTGAAGAGCGGCCCCCCTTGCAGGGAAGGAGGTAGCTGGGGCTTCCTCCAGCTGAGACACCTCCCCAAGGCAGGGTTCCCCGAGGGTCTCCATGTGGACAGAGGAAATGCAGTCCCTGCCTGAGACTCTTCCAACAAGGGCGCAGTGCTTGCTTCCCATTGAGAGGTGCTGGGCCCCTTGACCCTCTTCTGAACTCCCGAGGGACACCCCCAACCAGGCTGTGGGCCTCAAAGGAACGGCCCAATCTGAGGGCAGATTTCCTCGCTGGCAGGGCCTTGGGTTTCACCCATTCTCCGCCCATGTTCCTGCTTCCCTGGGGCCCTGCTGGATGTGGGCCCCTGACATGAAGCCAGGGAGAACAAGGGAGGCCTGTATGGAGCTATGGATCTCCCCCAGAGGGAGAAGAGGACTTTTGTGTCTGGGAACAAAACACGGCTTGGGACTGGCTCGCAACCTCGAGGTGAGGGCAACTTTCCCCTTTGGGGAAGTATTCCTAGGGACACGGCCTGGCCCTTGCTAGTCTGGGCTGGGAAAGGCAGGAGAGAGCCATTGGGAATATACCGGTGCCCCCAAGTGAGGCACCCTTAAAGATGGCATGGTGACACGCTGGCGATGGGGGTGAGAGGACACAGAGATGAATGACCCTCATTGGAAACCCGGTTCTGCCTCTTCTAGCCCAGCGGTGGCGGCAAATTGTTTGACCTTCTTAAGCCTTATTTCCTTATCTGAAAAGTGGGCATTTATTCTTCATGTCCAGGTAGTGAGAATGGCATGGAACGTGTGGAAAATTCCGACGCACTGCACTTGATGGCCCTCTGTCTGGGGGTCCCATCCCGTCCCTCATCAGAGGCAGAATAGAGCCATAGGAATGGGCATATTTACCCCAGAAGCTTCCAAGCGGGGCCCCTCTGACATCTCAAGACCATGAATCACTTATGGCAGGAGGCTGGGTAGACTCAGTGGCCAGGCTCAACCCCTGAGCTGGGGGTGGAAACCCCCAGTCACTGTGTGCAGGAGCAACTGCCAGAATAGAGTCAGGGATCTGGAGCAAGGAAGGAAAAGAATGAAGTAGTTGGTGGGTCACATTCTATGGATTTGCTACTCTGAGCTCTTGCTCACGAGTGGAAGCCTCGGGAGTTCTTGGGGGATGAGGGGTCTGGCCCCTGGTTATCTGAGGAAGGCAGAGAGGTCATGAGCAATGAGAGAAACCCTACCTGCAGGTGTGTCTGTCGTGTGGTGTGTGTAGGCCTGAGGAGCCCAGAGCCTGGGAAGGGGACAGCTGCCTTAAGCCTGGGCCACCATTGCCTGTTAGACCCACATGGGAGAGGACAGCAGCCTCCATTGGGCCCACTGCCTCATCACAGCCACCTAGGGTGCTCTTCCCCAGGTCTGTGCTCAGGCACTAAAGGTGCCAGGCCCTGTGCTAGCACCCTGGGGGCTGAACCCTGATGGTGCGTGAGGTGGGAAACAGGAACAGATGGAAAGTTAGTGGAGAGTGTGGTGGGGATTGTCCAGGTGAGGCCTTTGGTTCTCAGGCCAAGGGGAGTCAAGGGTAGTTTTTGAGTGGGGGAAGCACCACAAAAAAGACCTGGCCTCTCAGTGGGGGAAGGGCTAGGAAGGGGATTCCAGAAGCTGAGAGACCCTAATGGTTGTCTCTGGGGATGCATTAGGGATGCCTTTCTCTCTCTCTAGACAAATCCAGAATTCTCTCCTCCCTTGGGGGAGAGTGTGCTTGCCTCCAGCTGACTCCCTCAGGAGATCCATGTTGTTTTTTCTCTAGAATCCCCAGAACTCTCTTATCTCATGACTTGAATTATATAACCGGCCTGCCCCTAAACCTGGGTTGATAGGTTTGGTCTAGGCACACGCCATGCTGAATATTGGGGTCCCAAGAAAAAAGGTGATGGTAGCATGGTATCTCCTTCAAGGGAGCAGGAGTAGAACTGGCTGAGGGTGACAGGTGATTGGATTGGATTAGGGGGAGTGGAAAGAGGAGAGGAGAGACTCTAAAGAGATTGCACCTGGTTTTGAGGTGAGGGGGTTGGTAAAGGGGAGCATAGAGTGGGCAGCAGAGAGATGGGCCCATGCTCTCTAAGGTTTGAGATAAGATTCCTTAGTGACAGGAGAGGAGGTTGGTGTTACCACAAGAAAAAAGAGAAGTCAGAAAAAAACAAGTTTGAGAAGGCAATGAGTTCGAGTCACTCTGTTGAAGTTGAGGCACTCGTAGGCCTTCCACTAGTAGGCCTTCCACTCGTAGGCCTTCCACTCGTAGGCCTTCCACTCTTAGGACTTGCTCACCTGAAACTGGGTGGATGAGCCTGAGCTCAGAGAGCCTGAGCTCAGAGAGTCAGAGATACATGGAAGCCCTAGAAGTGGAGGTCACTGCAGGCATGGGTGGGGGCATAGGAGATTGGGGGAGAGACACGGACCAGGATAGAACCCCAGCCTTTAGGAGTGGGAGGACAGAGTGGACAGAGTGAAAACATGTCTAGCTCCTCCACTTTGACAAAGCCTATCACTGCAAGATCTTTGGGGTTCCAACCCATCACCCTGCCCCCCATCCCTCTCCCCTTCACAGCCTGCACACCCCACCTCTGTGTGTCCTAGGCTATGGAGGTGCACAACGTAGAGAGCATGGGCCCAGCTGTGCCTTTCGGTTTTGGGACCCCCTGTGTTCACCCTTCAGCTGTTAAATGAACCCCCGCATGAACATGTGCTGTGAGCCCACAGGCTCTCTGCTTGAGCTGAGGCCTTTGTCCAGCTGGGGGAGACTCCAGCAGGGTAGCCCATGACCGAGCAGGCACTGAAACCTGAGGACTGGGCCTTGTGTGCCTGCCTCTGCTTCTTGATTTTTAACTTTTTGGTGAGGTGTAGCTTACATACAAGAGAGCATAGACAACTTGGGTGTATCCCTTAAGGAATAACTGAAATGAGCTCCCAGGTGATGACCCCCCAAGTTAAGTAAAAGCACATTGCCCCACTGGCCACCCTCAGGGCATGAGCCTGTTCTCCCTCCTTAGAGGTAACATTTCTAAGCTAATAGCTGATGTAGCCCCACCTTTGCTTTTCTTCATCACCACTCCCCTGCAGCCATCTCTTGCCCTTAGAGAGGCTTCCACACATGGTCTGCTTTGCTCACATCTGTGCTGGGGGCCTCACCCATGAAGAGCCACTGCCCCAGCCCGGCCTTGTGCTTCAGTCCAGCCCTCAGTATGCCTAGCAAGGGCCTGAGTAGCTGCTCCCTGAATGTCAATCTGACTGGGGGAGGAACCCCTAAAATAGGGTCCTGAGGAGGCTGTGGAGAGCATGCCAGAGGAAGTGCCTCTCAGAGTTGGGCCCTCTGGGGCTCTTCCTCCATCTTTCTCTCCTTCCCAGCTGCTGATGGATGCTGTTCTGACCTGGACAGTCTGTGTTTGTACTTCCCTGGAGGAGTCATGCCCATTTCTGTGTTCCTTTTCAGGATGCCGAACTGGGGAGGAGGCAAGAAATGTGGGGTGTGCCAGAAGACGGTTTACTTTGCTGAGGAGGTTCAGTGCGAAGGCAACAGCTTCCATAAATCCTGCTTCCTGTGCAGTGAGTGTGGGGCTTGGGGCTGCTGTTGCCGAGGGTACTGGACCTGGGCCTGCCCACACAGGCTGGGCCTGTCAACACCCCAGGAACTGATCCCAGGGGATATAAACAGCCTGACATTTGGCCGAAGCGCAGCTGGGGAGGGAAACACTTAAGGGCCTCTTTGTTCCGCTCAGAAGCCGCTTCTTCTAAGGGGATGAACTGGCCAGGGCTGGTGGGGGTGGCGGGTGTTTGGGGGCTTAGAGCCAAGTTGTGGAGACTTGGTTAGGAAAACTTTCCACTCCATTTTCTCTTCTTTCTCTCCCTGCCACAACCCCCTCATTTAAGAGGAAGGCACTTTTTAGCCCAATGTTTCACTAGCTTTTGGAACCAGTTATCCCTTGGAATGGCAACCAAAGTTGCCCTTCTGGGGTAGCTGGTCTGGAGGAGGAGCTGGGTTCTCCCTCCTTAGACCCCAAGTGGCCATTCTGTCCTCACGTCCCATTCCTACTGGCTCCCTGAGATAGGAGCAAGACCACACTTATCCCCGAGCAAGGCTTGCTCTGATCCCAAGCCTGGGTGAGCAGGAAAACAGCAGACCCCAGGCCTGGGGAGCCCCGGGTGGCCGTGGGGTCCTGACTTCACCCCCCCTGCTGACTGGTGCTTGGGTAAGCAGTGTCCACTTGGGGAGGCCTCCCCAGGGTCCTAAGAGATTTGGGTCATTGTGACCAGAGGACCTGGGGAGGAAGAAGAGTAACTCCAGCAAGATGTGTCTTCCCTGAGGACCGGCCGCGAGCGGACGGCCATCACTCAGCCTTGAGTCTGAGAGGCAGTCAGTCAGGGGTTGGGTTTGAGTTCAGTTTTTACTATCTGTGCAATAACAAGCAAATTACTTGTGATTTTTCTCATTCTTACAGAGCAGATAATAGCACTTACCTGGGGGGTGGGAGGGCGCTGTTGTGAGAATTAGAATGAGAGGAGTCTGGAAAACAAATAAAGCACTTAAAGTAATTATGGGTGTTCAAAAAAGGCTAGGCACTCCACACACACATGCACGCACACACACACACCTCTCACACACATACAACATGCATGCACACCACGCACACCAACACATGCAGATTCATCTCCCCGCAGCGCCACAGACACCGCTCACATACATCACACTCACCCTTGACATTCACCGCCCCCAACACACACCATACCCCCACACATGGTGCCGAGGGGTCCATGAGCAAGGTGGTGTGATGTAAAGGAGAGAGAGGCACAGGGGCTCTGCTGCTGGCTTCACAACACAAGGGAATGTTGGAATGTGCCAACATTCAATAGCCCCAGCCCATCTGAGACATCAGGCAGTGAGTGGGGCCCCCTCTATCCTGCGTCAGAGTTGGAAGTGTCCCTTGGCTTTGTCTCAGGTGACTCGTGCTCTAGGGTAGGGTGCAGGTGGGTTAAGGGCCACCCGGCTCCTGGCAGTTCACCAGAACTCTACCTGCTATTGGCAGACGAACCAGTATGGCTCCCGGGCCTCCACGCCCCAACAGGCAGCAAGGCCATGTGTGCTGATGGGGGGGTGCCTGAGCTCTCGGAGCCTCACTGGCCCCCAGCCCCGGAGGTGACCGCACACAGCAGTGTCCTATTATTAGCAGTTCACTGCACTTAGCAACTTTTTCCAGAGGGAGTGAGGTCTTGGCAGTGTCTGGGAAGAGCATCCATGGTGGGGTCCTCAGGGCCCCTTTTTTGGCTTCCAACTGTTGCTTAATCACTGATTAAAAGGGCCCGGCGTGGTGGAGAGGCATCATGCCGGCTGTGGGCTGTGGAGGACAGGCTGTTGGTCAGGCACCCGGGAAGCCAGGAATTCAGGGGGTGGCATTGGAAGGAAGGAGCAGGCCTGGTCGGGTGTGAAGGAGTGCTGAGGATTAGAAACAGTTGTAGAAAGTTAGGCTGGGGGCATGCGGAGGGGAGGGCGGGGGTGTTGTGAAACCAGCAGCATGAGGAGCCGTCTCCGGGTGCAGGACTGCGGGATTCCTGGCATCAGAGCTGGAAGAGGACCCAGCAAAGGGAGGCATCCCCCCAGCGTGCTTCTCCCCAGTACCTGGAGCAGCACGAGCTCACATAGGCCCTCGGGAAGACCTGTATGCACGGAGGAGTATCACTTCTCTTTCTCAGTGACGTGGGCTGTGTGTCTGGTTGGACTTCTGGAATTCAGAATAACCCACAGAATCATAGGCCTTTCCCTCCTCAGGAAGAGAAAGATCAGCAGGGTTTAGGCCTGGAGGTCATTTAGCACCTTAGGCCCTCGAGGGGCAGGGCTGGGTGGATCCCCAAAAGAATCTAACCATTCCTTGATTCTGGATTCCTCTCAGCTAGGCACCCACATTCCCTTTCTGGAGGGTCTGGGACATATAGGAGAAGTCAGAGGAGCCCACCCTGGGTGTGGCCTCTGACCCGGGAGCAGGGACTCATAGGGCATGCAGTACTCTGGCCTGAGAGGCAGCCAGGAGGCTCAGCTCTGTAGTGGGGGGCCTGCCCCATGCCATTGCCCTTCTCCAGGGCAGGTTGGGGTGGCCAGCAAAGACACAGGGCATGAGCACAGGGATGGCTCACCACGGTGCTGCCCCCACCCCAGGCCCCGCCCCGATACCAGTGTCTTCTTGCCCACAAGTTGAGGTTTTCTGCCACCCTCTTCTAGCCCCACATGCTCGACCTACTGAAAGGAACTATAGGCTGGCAGAAAACAGGCGTGCAAATCAGGGCTGGGTTCTGGCCCAACCCTGCTTCTGGTTAATGCTTGAACTTTTCTTGTGAGCCTTGGTTTTCATTCCAGAAGCAGAGAGAATCCATCTCTCCCACCTCTCACTTGGGCTGCTGTTTCCCTGTGCTTCCTAACAGCATCCCAAGGCCTGCCCGAACAGGTAGCATCTGGAAGTATGTTTTCTTTTTTTTTTTGGTGGGACCCTCACCGGCAGCCGGGGAACGAACCAGCGCTGCAGAGACCAGCGCTCAACCACTGTGCCACCAGGGGAGGCCCTGGTAGTATCTTTTCTTAATAAATATACATAACCAGTCTGTAGCTAGGTGTCTTTTTGGCTTAACACAATTTGCTAGAAATTTATTTAGGTCTTCACTCAAACTTTCCTTTAACTGAGTCTTTGGAGGAGAATAGAGGTAACCCAACTACAGCACCCAGATGAAGGTGGAGGGACAGAAGGCCAAGGTGGGGTGTTGAAGGTGGGTCCTGGTAGACAGGATGGGCCTAACAGAGAGGTCTTGACACCATATGTGGAAGTCAGGGCTCTGTCAGCACAACAGGGAACGCCTCTGGGTTGAGCTTCCCGATCTCTTACTGGAAAGATGGCTCAAAGGAGGACTGTGTTCCCTCAGCTGCTCTTGTCTGGGCTTTCTGTTTTCCTTCTGGTCCTGGAATTTCCAGTTCAACTTGGGTCTTACAGGAAGCAATTCCAGGCCAGCTCCTGACTTCCCACCCTAGAAGGGAATGTTGGAGCCCTGGCCTGCTGTTCTCTCTTGCTCCTTCCCGGGCTCCAAACCTCAGGGGAGGCTGTGGGAAGTTCCATATTTGGGCTGCCCAGAGTCCTGGAATGAGGTGGGGACCAGAGGGCAGGACAGGAGGGTCCTTATTTAGTCTGAGGTCTCTAACCTGGCGCTGGGGTGAGAGAGGAGCTGATGGAAAGCTGGACCCTTTAAAGGCAAGAGAATAGCAGGCCTCCCTGTTGGCCTAGGGGTTAAGTCTCAGTGCTACCACCATGTAGGCTCACCCAGGTGGTCCGAGTTCAATCTCTGGCCAGGAGGCTGACCCACATGGCACAGCAGACTTCTCCTGTCTCACCCACTGCTCCCCTCAGCAGTTTATTTCAGTAGATCCACCTGCTCTGTTCCCCACTCTGTCTCTGGTGAATCCTCTCACCCCCCCCTCCTTGCACCTCTGGCCTACACCCCAGTTTTTCTATGCAACATGAATAAAATAAATAAAAATCTTACAATAAAGGAATAATTCTTAAAAAAGAAAAAAAGAGGATGGCAAGTTGTAAGTTGCTAAGCTGAGGGCCTTCTCAGGGAGATGAAAGGTATGGCTTCTTCACTGGTTTCCATCTTCAGAATGATGTGTTTGGGGTTACGGTCCACTTGGGTGCACTGGATCAAAGTTCAGAGAATAACGTAGCACCAAACTAGTATTCTAGGATGAGATCTAAAGAAATAGAGTTGATAGAAGTTGGTAGAGGTTGGAAGCAGTGATATTTTGAGGCCTGGGCCTGTCCCTCCTGCCCCCTGAATCCCCATGTACTCACCTTACATAATATAATAAAAGTAGGCAACATTTATTATGTGTGCAGGGCCTTGTGCTAAGTTCATCACATGTTAGATATCATTTAATTTAATTCTCACACCCACATTTTGGGGCAGGTTATTATCTGTGTTGACAAATGGGGACACTGAGACTAGAAAGGCAAAATAATTGGCCCAAGATCACACAGCTGGAGAGAAGGGAGTTGGGATTTCACTCTGGGTGGTCCGACTCCCCTTGGCCCCAGGAACTGTTTTACTCTGGACAGCTGTACACAGCTCTCCTCCCAGATGAACCGGAAGATAAAGGAGGCCCCAAGCTTTCTAAAGCATTCCAATTGCTAACTCACCCCATTCCAGTCTTTCTTTCCCAAGAGTCAGGAAATTCTTCCATTTCTGACTTCAGTTCTTTCCAAGGCACAGTGATTTCTGAGATTAGAAACTTCAAATCTTGGGGCCTCCTTGGTGACACAGGGGTTAAGGTCTCAGCACTATCAAGCTATTTCCAGCCACTTGGCCTGAGTTTGATCCCTGGCCAGGGAACTGACCCACATGGCGCAGCAGACCTCTCCTGTCTCCCCGCTGCTCCCCTCAGTAGTGTATTTCAGTAGATTTGCCTATTCTGCTCCTCACTTTGTCTCTGGTGAATCCTCTCACCTCCCCAAACCTCTGGCCTGTACCCCAGTTCTTGTATGCATAAATAAATAAAAATAAATATTTTTTAAAAAAAGAAACTTCAAATCTGTGGTTAGCAGACTTGCACCCCATTTCAGAGCCCTGCCATGCTGGGGACTTACTATTCCATTTTCTCCTGGGGCATCACTGTGCCTGCATCCCTGCTCCCCAAGCGCATACAGATTGTCCTTCGGGCTGCCTGCCGTGGCTGGAGGCAGGGAAACCCTGCCCTTTTTCTTCCTTCCTTTCTTTTTTCTCTTCCTGTTGGGATATGAGGTCTCTTTGTCAAGGCCAGAATGAAGGCCCTCAGCAGGTTTCCTGTGGTTTGGGGTCAGCCTAGGCTGTTGCCCCTGACAACCCTGGGTTGCCCTACAGCCTGGAGGGGCAGGAGGGTGCAGGACAGAGGAAGGCACATGGGCTCCTGACAGCAGGGGCTGGGCCACTCTGTCTCACCCTCTCTCCTCCTGGCTCACTGGCCCTCATTTCCAGGCTGCTCCTGAAAGGTCATGTGTGCAAAGTGCCCCGAGCTACTGCTGCAGGCCTGGCTGGCCGCAGCTCCAGCCCCAACCCCTCACACTTGCTTCCCTCCGCAGTGGTCTGCAAGAAGAATCTGGACAGCACCACCGTGGCCGTGCATGGCGAGGAGATCTACTGCAAGTCCTGCTATGGCAAGAAGTACGGCCCGAAGGGCTACGGCTACGGGCAGGGCGCGGGCACGCTGAGCACGGACAAGGGCGAGTCTCTGGGCATCAAGCACGAGGAGTGAGTACAGAGCCTCTCCTGCCGCCTCCTGCGCCACCCCACTCCCTACCTTTGCTGGGTGAATTTTCAGCCACTTTTGGTTAAACACTCCAAAACCCATTGATTTCAAAGGTAGTCTTAGGGATGCCTGTTTATTTCAAAGGAGTCAGTAGCATGCCAATCTGTGGAGCGGGGGTTCCAGTGGTGTGTGTGGGGGGGGAGCTGGGTTCCTCCATATATGGCTTTTATAGGGGTCAGGGCTAGGAGGCACCCCAAGAATTATTTAGTCCAATTTTCTCTTTTTTCATATGAGAAAAGCCAGCCGTGGTGGCTCAGTAATTTGCTGGAGTACCCACAGCCCCTCAGTGTCCAAAGCAGGCTTTCAGGTCTGGGAAGCAGCTGCTTTGTCACCCTAGCCTTGCTTGAGCTAGCCAGCTGTTTCTCCCCACCCAAGGGGAAGTCACGTCTCTTCCTTGGCAATACCACAGGGTGTCACTCCGTCCCCAGCACCCCTGACCTCTGACATGTAGTCAGTTTGTGGGTCAGCAACTTGGCCCTAGGGGATCAATGGAAATGACAGATGAGTTAGCACATTTCAGCCAAGGTCATTGCCCCAGTGGGAATGATTTGTCAGCAGATTGCCTGGGAAGAAAGAATCTGCTGGTGGGCTGGCTGCAGGGTGGGGGACAGAAGAGGGCAATCTTAGCAAATGAGGTGCTAAGTGATTCTGATGGGTTCAGATGTAGTTGAGATTCAGTAAGTGAGGTCCAGATGAATGGGGTCCTTGAGGTCCAAAATCTGAGAAAGATTTTGGCAGTTTCCCCATTCAGTGGCACACAGCGAGTTTACTAAGGAAAAAGGCATTCCCAGGACACAGACAGGCAGAGGCCGCCCTTTAGAAGGGCAGGCTTAGGACCTCCCTGGTGGCATAGGGGTTAAGTCTCAGAACTACTGTCTCGCCCGGCCTGCTGCTCCTCTCAGCAGTGTATTTCAGTAGATCTGTCTATTGTGCTCTCCACTCTGTTTCTGGTGAATCCTCTCACCACCCCCACCCCCCACCCTCGCACTTCTGGCCTGTACCCCGGTTCTTCTACACAAAAATTTAAATAAATAAATAAAGGGGACTGAGGTGATGGTGCACGGGTGCATTGGTGAAGGAAACTCTATGGGGACGACACCTGAGGGGGTGGGGGGAAGCAAATATTGTTTAAAAATGAACAATGATGTAAAAAAAATTAAAAAAAAGAGACATAAATTATTATAAAAAAATTCCTCTTTCAGGCCTTCAAAAAAAATAAATAAAGGGTAGGTTTATTAGTAAAAAAGAGGTATCTGTGTAGACAAGGGTAGGCAGAGTTGCATTTTGCCAGAGCAAGGGGTACCTTTTTTTTTTAAAAAAGATTTATTTATTTATACAAGAACTGGGGTATAGTCAGAGGAGCGGGAGGCTGAGAGAATTCACCAGAGACAGAGCGGGGAGCAGAACAGGCAGACTGACTGAAGACACTGCTGAAGGGAGCAGCGGACGAGGCAGGAGAGGTCTGCTGCGCCATGTGGGAACCTCCCTGGCCGGCCGGGAATCAAACCGGCACTGCGGAGGCTGCGGACAGCTTCACAGTGCAGCGCTCAACCCACTGCACCACTGGGAAGGACCAAAGGGTACATTTACAGAGTGTTCTTCTGGGGGAGTTGTTCCTTTGTGGACTTTTACCTATTGTGAAATCTATCACTTCTGAGGTCTGGCTGGCTTGATCTATAAGGCCTGATGTTTCTTTGTAGTGACAGGCAGTTATTGTGCCCACCTCCAGTCCATGCCTACACATCATCCCATGGCAGGTTTAAGGCTCATTAATCATTTTTACCCATAACTCTAGTTTCTGGCTTGAGAAGATTACTTCCTGAATTTTCTGTTCTAAGCTTCCATCAATTCCAGCATTTTACCTAGGGACTGAGGAAAGGATGATGGTTCAGTCAAAGTGACATTGTGTTGAGCCCTGGTTTGCCCATCTGTAAAGTGGGTAATGGTCTGGTGAGACATGAAGTGAACTGCCCCCTGCCTGGTGCATGATGCACAGGGCTCTCATGCCCCCCCACCCTTTCTGTGACAGTCCCACCTGTATTTCTCACATGAGGACCTCACGGCTGTGCTTCCCTTCCCCACCCAGGGCTCCTGGCCACAGGCCTACCACCAACCCCAATGCATCCAAGTTTGCCCAGAAGATTGGCAGCTCTGAGCGCTGCCCCCGCTGCAGCCAGGCTGTCTATGCTGCTGAGAAGGTGATTGGCGCTGGGAAGGTAAGGCGGGTGCTGGCATCATGGGGAGAGGAAGGGGCCTTCCTGAAGTGTGGGTGCTGGAATGTTGTGAGTCTGACCCCAGCTCTGCTTAGGGGAGCCTGTGCCCTGGGCTGTCAGTGTTTCCCTCTGTCCCCGGAGTTGCTGGTCCTGGTGCCCCCCAGATGCTGAGGCCCTGAAATGACTCGTGAGCAGAACAGCCTTGGCACTGATTATTAACAGCCGGGGGCAAGTCAGAGCAAGTTACAAAGAACCACGTGTGTCTCTAGAGTTGGGGACCACAGACCTCCAAGAGTGGGTGGATGGGTTTCAGAGGTCTGCAAACCCCCTAAAATTAAATGTAGTTTTGTGGGACCATGTCTCTTTCCAGGAAGATCCATAGGTTTCTTTGGATTTTCAAATGATTTATGATCCCAGAATGTCCGTAACCACCTGCTAATCCACATCTATTTATTTCATTCAGAGGATGTAGATTTCCAGAAACCCTTCGTATACCCTTAAGACAGAGATTTGCAATGTTTGGGGCCTATCAGAACCCCTTGGGGGTGTTGTAAACTATTTCTAACTGCCACTAACGGCCTTTCCCCATATCCCAGTGAGCATGGCCTTGCCAGTATCTCTGCGACATTCTCATAGTGGCCCCATCCCCCAAAGCACAGTTAGACTCAGTGGAGGGAGCCCCTGTTTGTCGTGAGCCAGAGCACATCCCTCAGAGAGGCTGGAGTGAGGTGAAGCAGGAGGCTCTGCCGTATGGCTTCCCATCACAGACTGGATCACAGTTTCAGCTCTCCAGCTAGAAAGGGTTTCTGGATCATCACGGGGGCCCAGGGTAAGGAGGGAGTTGGTCATGTCCACGGCAGGCCAGTGGGACAGTGGGGCAGAGGGCCCATCTGCTGCAATTCTGCATGTGGGCTTGGCTTTAAGACTTTTTTACGCTGGGGAATGGACAGGGCACAAGCAGGCCAGATCTGGCCCATAGCAGGCTCTCAGTTCAGCCCTTGCAGGCATGGTTGGAGGGAGGGAGGTATTAGAAGCTCATTTTGTAGATGAAGAAACTGAGAGTCTGAGCTCTCAGGATCAGTGCAGATCTTCTTGCCGGGAAGTGGCCAAGCTCAGGGTCAGGCCAGGCTCCTCTGACCTCACAGCCCTTGTTCTTACTGTGGTTAACTCTGCTTCGGGCCATTTGATCTCTTTGAATCCATTTTCTCAGCTGCATGGCAGAACGGGCTCTTTTATTACAGCATTAAGACCTTGGGTCTTAGCCCAACCTGGTCTGAAATCTAGTTTTGCCACTCACTAATTGTGTGACCTTGGGCATTTAACCTTCCTAAGCCTCGGTTCTGTATCTGTGAAGGGAAGCAAATGATGGGCCCTGACAAGGTTGTTCCAAAAAATGAAATGAGACTAATGCCTGTGTCTCCTCGGCTTCTGCCGCCATTACTGCTTACTTTGTAGGATTGTTGGGAGGGTGGAAGGAAGATCCTTGGCATTGGTTAAATGATATGAAAACAAGAGATAGCATTAATATTATTAAGTTGCAATGTCTATGATAACAGAAAATTATTTAAAAAAAAAACAAACTCAAGGATCGGGATCGTTATTTCTAGCAGTTAACTTAAAGTCCAGGTCTTACCACTAGGGGGCAGGGATGAGAGAAATTCGTGCGCAGGAGAGGTGGAGAGAAGCATGGAGCATGGGGGTGCTCTCAGGTGTTGCATGGACTAGTGCTGTGCCACAAGCGCTGTGGGAGGCTGGGCCACAGGAAGGGAGGTGGGTGACTCAGTCCTTCCGCAGCTTGGAGACTATAGGGTGGAGGCCCTGCTTCTTGAAGGAGGATGCTGATTGCTGAAGGCCCAGGACACAAAAGGGGGGGTGTGGGGGACTCAGATCGGGGTCCCATTTCAGCTCCCTGGACCCTGCTGTCCCTAGAGCCAGGAGGAGATGCTGATATGTATAGTCTGGTGCCCAGGAGTTGAGGGATTTCAGTTTCGCTTCTCATCCTCCAACCCAGGCGCCAGTTGGCTGTTCTGAGGGCATCTCTCCCCTTAAAAGGCCTTGTTTTGTCTGATCTGAATGCTGCCTGTCTGGCAGAGCCATCTACACACTGGCCGCACAGCCAGATCAGGGGCGCTGGTGTACAGGCCCCCTTACCGCCTGTAGACCTGACCCCCTTCTCCCTGTAGGCCGTTAGCTCTGTATTGCCTCCGAGCTCCTATGAGAACTACAAAGGACCTTCTATGGTCCCTGGAGAAACTACATCCCGTGGCCTTCACTGCAGAGTTCAGGGCACTTAGGAGACCCTCGCTTCTAACCAAGTCAGCTGGACATAGGCTCTAGGCTCCTCCGGGCCAGGCATGTGACACTAGTAAGGTCACTGGATCCTCACAGCCTCCTGGTAGAGGAGACTCTGCCACCCTTCCCTCTGGGAGCTGAGGGCCTTGGGGCAAACAGGCCACCTGGTTCTAGAACTTCAAAGGCCAGGGTGGTTCTGAAAGCTCTCAGTTACCCCAGGCTTCCCTGTGCCAGGCCCCGGTGTGCATGTCCAGGCCTCACATCCGTTCTCTCCCGGAGAGGAAATGCTGAGGCTGTGCAGCCACACACGCTGCCAGGACCAGTCAGAAGACCTCGCCCATGTCGCTAATCCTGGGCAGGATTGGTCCGGAGAAGGCTTGTCTGACCCTGCCTAGAGGAACAGCTATCTCGGAGGTGACCGCCGCCCGCCTCCCCTTTGTGGTGGGTCTGGGTGCCACCCAGCTCTTGCAACACCAACTTGAAGGTGGTTCCAGATCTGCTCCACCACATCTGGGGCCCACGCATGCCCTGCCAGTGTGTCTCCAGCACAGCACATTGTCCTTCCACATCCTATGTCAAGGGGAGCGGAGCTGGGAGCAGGGACCTGCGGGTGGCAGCATTAACTCTTTTTCTTTTCTTTTTTTTTAAGATTTATTTGTTTATGCATAGAAGAGCTGGGGTACAGGTCAGAAGTATGGGGGGGGGTGAGAAGATTCACCAGAGACAGAGTGGGGAGCAGAACAGGCAGACTGACTGAAATACACTGCTGAGGGGAGCAGTGGGCGAGACAGGAGAGGTCTGCTGCGCCATGTGGGTAGCTCCCTAGCGGGCCAGGGATCAAAATCCTGCTGAAGAGGCTGCGGATAGCTTCATAGGTTGCTTCTTAACCCCTTGCACCACCAGGGAGGCCACGACAGCGTTAACTCTTTCCTTCCCTTTCCAGTCCTGGCATAAATCCTGCTTCCGCTGTGCCAAATGTGGCAAAGGCCTTGAGTCAACTACCCTGGCTGACAAGGATGGCGAGATTTACTGCAAAGGTGGGTGGCTGAGATTTACTTTTGGGGAGCTGAGGGGGCTCAGGAGTAAGTACTAACCAGCTGGTTAAATATAAACCAGTCCTGGCCTTGGGGTTAATTCCAGAGTATCTAGTGTGACCCCTTCAGTTTGCAGAAGAGGAAACCAGCCACCAGCCCAGAGGGGAGCACGGTGTGGTCAGAGCCTGTGGAAAATTGGGGTCAAGGGGCAGGGCCGGATTTCTGACTCCCCTTCATGCTCCTACAGCAGATAATGCTTCTCCTGTCATTTTGGGGACAGGGGAAATGGATACACGAGGGGCCAAGAACCCCCTCACTATTGGGGTTGGGGTGCTGTAGAGGTAAGGGGGTGCTGTGGGCTTTATGCTCCAGAGATGTGGTCAGGCTGGGGGTGCGGGGCCAGGAGAGGCAGGAGGAAGCAGTCCTCACCCTTCCCTTCTCTGCTCTCTCTGCAGGATGCTATGCTAAAAACTTCGGGCCTAAGGGCTTTGGTTTTGGGCAAGGAGCTGGGGCTTTGGTCCACTCGGAGTGAGGCCCATGCTGCCCACCACACCCTGGCCACTCCTTTGCTTCTCATCGCCCTTCCCTCCCAGCAGCCTCGGCCACCTCCAGGCTCTGCCTCCCGCTCCCAGATCCACCACACTTCACTAATAACTTGAACTTGGCTGTTTGGCTCCCTTTGGTTTGGGGTCTGCCTGTGGGCCACTCCTCTAAGGGGCATGGCCTGCCTGGACTGTGGCGATGTCACCAGTAGGAGACCTCAGTGTTTTAGTCTGTGTGGGCCGAGGACTCTCTCCCCACACCCCAGCCCACACCCCTCTTTTCATCGCCTTTTAGACTAAGTGCCCATCAACTGTCCAAGACACCGGAGCCCACATCCCAGAGCCCTGGGAACAGCAGGGGACCCAAGGAGGGAGACATGGAAAGCTGTGGTTTACTGGACCCCGAGATGCCTCTGTGGGAAAGAGGGGGGCTGCTGCTTGCTGCTCAGCACAGGCTGGGGAGTCATCAAATGGGTGGGAGCAGAGTGGCAGGCAGGGTGTGGAGACAGGAGGCACCTGCTTCTCTAGGCCCCTTGCCTTTGACTTTAAGGATGTCCTCCCCCTCAGGCTTGGGGGAGAAGAAATTGGTCTGAGGACCCAAAGTCAGGACGTCATCTCACCTTTCCCGGCATCTAGCTCCCTGTTTGTTGGGGACCCTAATGAAACACCTCCACACACACTCCCACTTACCGGTGGCACAAATCTGAGGGTAGATCACACTGCCCCTCACCCTGGGTCCCCAGGCTCCTCCCTGTCCCAGCACAGCCCAGGCCAGAGCTCTCTAGGCCCTCTCTGTGGAGGAGCCACACAAGCCTCAGGCCTATCCTGACACCCTCCTTCCTGCATTGGTCCTCAGGAGCTTCCTGAGGCCCCTTCCGCTCCCCACTTCTCCAGGGACCCTGCTCTGGCCACCTCCCCCACCCCACCCCCACCCCCGCCTTCCAGGCCCCAGGGCAGGAACAGCAGGAGAAAGGGGTGGGGCCAGTCCAGGCCACTGCCAGGCCACTGAGGGATGACACTATGGGGCCATGGCTGGAAGGGGCCACGCGGGCTGTATTCAGGCTCACTCCTCATCTGGCCAATAAAGCTGTTACAACAGAACTCTGGTGTCCCATCCTGCTTCCTGAGCCCTGCCGTCCCCTGGGGGTGGGAGGGAGCTTGACTGGAACAAGCTTCACTACCCTAATAGCTTGACTAGCCTGGTAGAAATGAAAGTGCTCAGTTCCTGCTTCTCTCAGGGCTGCTTGGTCTCCTGGGTCAGTTCTGACTGAAGCACCTGCCTGGAGCCATCCCACCAGCCAAGCCCCGCTGTCTGGCCTCAGCCCCGCCCCTGGCTGTGGGCACTGCGTGGGCGCTGGAATTTGAGGGGCTCCACTAGGCCTCCAAACCATGCTCAGAACTTCTTCCAGCTTGGAAATTCCCAGAGTGAGAAGGAAAATACCAGACAAACTTCCACGTCAAATCCAGAAATCTTACTTCTTTTTTTTTTTTTTTTTTTTAAGATTTATGTATTTTTTCATAGAACTAGAGGTATGAGGTATGAGGTCGGGGTGTGAGAGGATTCACCAGAGACAGAGTGGGAAGCAGAACAGGCAGATTTACTGAAGTACACTGCTGAGGGGAGCAGTGGTCAAGGTGTGCTGCCATGTGGGTCAGCTCCCTGGCTGGGGATTGAACTCATGCTCCAACAGCTGCAGATAGCTTCATAGTGCTGACACTTAACCACTTGCATCACCAGGGAGGCCTGCAGAAATCTTACTTCTGTCCAGGAGTGGGGATGGAGTGGAGGGGCCTAACTCAGCCTGCTGTACTGATAGGGCCCTGTCTTGACCTGTTGGGGCAGCTACAACCAGCCTCCATAAATGGTGGCATATAAACCACAGAAATGTACTCCCAGTTTTGGTGACTGGGAAGCCCAAGATCAAAGCACTCGCAGATCTGGTGTCTGGTAAGAGCCAGCTTCCTGTTTCCTAGATGACTTCTCAACGTATCCTCACAAGACAAGTGGACAAGAGAGCTCTTTGGGGTCTCTCATAACGGTGCTGATCCCATCCTAGAGGATGGGATCCTCATGATCTAACCTCCCAAAGTCCCTAGGTCCTAATACCATCACCTTGGGGGTCGGGCGGTGGGGTGTAGGTAAGCCAAAGTGACTCCATCTTGTATTAATGCCATCTTAGACCCGTGACCCACACTGCCCTGGGTCAGTGAGCCAGTTTCCCCATAGTTTCTTTCACATGCATTAACCCGTATTCATGAGCCACACAAATCTATTCACCTTAGAATAAAGACACGTGTGATGCCCCTACTGCCATCTGGCATCAGTAACTACACAAGAAGGATCACAGGTGCTAAGCAGGGCAGAGGAGAGGCCCAGCCAGGGTGAGGGCATGGATGCTGCCCAAACAGATCCCTATCCCACAGCCTCGGCACCGAGGGCCTGTGTGTCTGTCAGTTGCCCTAAATAAACCAAGTGTGATTGATGCTTCGTTCTTCTGACTCAAGTTACCTTCTGAGTTTGGGGGAATGTGTTCGTTTCTGCAGCCACACAAGTTAGGATTTCAACTTAGACATTTTGGGAGGACACAAACATTCAATCTATACCATTCCCAGCTCCCCAAATTTGTATCCGTCTTACATGCCAAATGTATTTATTTGATCCAAATAGCCCCAGAATCTTGACATGTTTCCACATTAACTTTAAAGTTTAAGTCCAAGTTCCCTGAAATGTCCTTTACGTCAGATCTGGGTGAGACTCAGGCACGGCTCCTCCAGCTCTGAAACTGTCATGTGCTTCCCAAGTTCAAGGTGGGAAAAATGTAGGATAGATTTTCATGGCCAGAAAGGGAGAAATAGGAAAGAGGAGAGGAGCGACAGCCCATGTAAACCCAAACCTCAACGGGGAGAACTCCTCTGGACCTGGCAGCTTGAGAATAATCTGTCCTCTGACCCCACTGGGGTGGCAATGTCACCCCACAAACCAGAGGGTGCTGCCCAGGCCTGGGATTTCTGCAGGGTCCCACCTCTGTGGTGGCCCCTGCAGACCCTGTTTTTTGACTTAGGTGGAGGCAGCCGTGACCCTTGAGTCTACTCTCTGGGCCTACGACAGCCGTGGTAGGCTGAGGCCCCGAGTCACCTTCCAAGTCATTCTTCCATTGTCTTGAACAGGACTTCTGATGAGATGGCCGACTCCTAATGAGCCTTACCATACGGTCACTTTGCCACCCTTAGGGTTCCCATTTCTTGAACTATAGATAGGCTACGATTTCCCCAAACCTTTAAGTTAATGCTTTCTTGTTTGCTTACACAATTCCATCTATAAGTTGTCTCCCGCTTGCATTTTGCCATAAGCACTGGAGAAGTGCTAAACCAGTAGTAGTCTGCAGTGCCAGAGGTTGCTCAGCCAGACACTCAACTTCACTGCCCCCGAGTTCTGCCTTCCACAATGCACCACAACACTCAGAGCCAAGTCCCATGTGACTTTATTGCAAGGATCACCTTGTCTCCAGTTTGCAATAGACAGTCTCCATTTCTTCAACCAGCAAGGCCTTTAGCCACCATATTTCTACCCACATTCTGCTCAGAATTCCTTAGGCCTTCTCTGAGACCAGGAGGCTTTCTCTCAGGTCTCCTCTGTTCCTTCTGAGCTCTCACCAGAATCTTCTTTAAAGCTCTGTTCACAGCAAGATGGGTTTATTCTAGCAGACATTTCAAAACTGCCAGCCCGTCTGCCCACCACTGGGCTCCAAAACCACTGCTACACGTCCAGGTATTTGTGACAGCAGCGCCCCACATCTTGGAACCAATTTTTATCTTAGTTCTCGTTGTTATAAGCAACTACTATAAATAGGGCAGCTTATAAACAATTTATTTCTTACAGCTCTGGAGCTGAGAAGTTCATGACCAAGTGCTGGCCCATTGAGCATCCAGTGAGGGTCAGCTTGCCTCACAGGGCAGAAGGGGCAGGTTCTTACACAGGGCACGGATGGCAGGAGGGCCCTACCCTTGTGACCTGAGCAGCCCAGAAAGGCCCCACCCCCTAACACCATCACTGCGGAGTTTAGGATCTCACCATGAATTTTGGGGAGGACACCAACATTTTAATCTCTGGCAGGCCTCACAGTCAAGCCCGAACATTTTGTTAATGAGCTCATCTGAGGGATTGCAGTGACCTTCACCTCGGAGAGGGGGGTGGGGGGGTGTCTGTCTGATGTTTTAGGGCTGGGTTTCTCCGCCCACACAGTGAATTTACAAAACAATACGCAGATGCTTTAACAACAGCCATGTGTGCACAATGTCCAGGTCACCAGATTCAGCCTGAAAGGTGCCCTGTCCTTGACTCTGGTTGTGGAGCGGAAACATGTCCATGATCGTCAACAGTGCAGAACAGGAGGGAAGCGCAGGGTGAGAGGGGAGGAGCTGAGAGGAAACGCCCGCACTGCCTGTGAGTTCCCCGGGACGGGGACGGAGCTACCATCCTGATAACGGCCTCTAGGTCAGCCAGGGATGTGGCCATCCAGGCCTCCGGGGCGGGTCTGCACATAGGGAGGATGGATGGATGGATAGATGGATGGATGGATGGACGGTCTGACTGAGGATCACTCTGCTGATGGGCGCCTTTGGGGCTCCAAATTGGGGACAGACTGCCCTCTGCTGGCTGCGGGGCGGGCCTCTGGCACCCCCTCACAGCGCCACCCGTCCAGCCGCTCCTCCACGAGCTGTCCAGTTCGGGGAGCACCAGTCTTCCAGACCAGCTGTGTGCTGGGGAGAAGACCGAAGAAGCTCCTGGGGGTGAAACCGGAGTCAAGGCAGAGAGGAGAGTAAGGCGGAGGCCCCAGGCCGGCAAACACTGTCTCGGTGGCGAAGGGCGGGGCGGAAGGGCTCAGAGAGGAGGGAGGGGCACCCAGAGGTGGAGCCGTCTGGGGAGGGGCCCCTAGCCGCCGGCGCGACGCTTGCTCAGAGCCAGGAGCCACCAGGTGGCGCTGTGGAGACGCCAGAAGGCTTCCTCTGCGGACGCTGGGCTTTGGGCCCAAGTTTCTTGCAGGCGGGGTGCTCTTCTCCAGTCCCTAGATAACAGTCTTCCCTTGCAGGGTGTGCACGCTAATAGTGGCTTGCAGTGAAACAAACTGTGGAACAAACAGTATAACAAACTGACCCACAGGAAGACTGGAGCAAGGATCTTTGTGTCCATCCAGGTATTTCTTTTCTGTTTTCTGTGGTGTTTGACTCGTGTCCAGGAGCGGCAGGGGGTGGAGCAGTGCCCAGCTTGGTCCCAGACTCTGGGTAGTTAGGGTGCGGTGGGAAAGAGCTGCCCCTTCCGATGCAGTGGAAGGAAAGAGCTGCCCCTTCCTCCTCCAAGGGCCATGACATCTATTTGGGTGACGTGAGGATAGAGAGAGCAGAAGGAACCAGATGGAGGGATGAGGTCAGGGGTGAGGGAGAGTGGGGTGTCCGTCTGTCCATCCATCCTGATCCCCCTTTTGGAGGGGGCAGAAACCCAGCAAGGCCACCTTTCCCAGACCTGAATCAGGTGAGGGTGCTAGTGATTGGAACAGGATGAAGAACCCACAGAGATCAACTACTGAATGAGTCCTCCCCCACCCCCAAAGATAACCACTGGGGAAACCTTTTAAAATGGACTCCTCCCCTACCCACCCTAGAGATTATGATTCAGTGGGCCTGGTTGGGGCCTCAGCCATTCTGATGCGCAGGTTCGGCAGGCTTGAGGACCTGCCTATTGGTCCCTCCTCCTGCTGGTGCCCACCTGCACTCCACAGTCTGCCCTCTGTGGTAGAGTTGTCCTGGTGCCATGAGCTCAGCGCCCCGCCTGGCAACTGGCGCTCGGTTCTAAAGATTAGCAGGACTTCCTGGAACTTCCTATTTCTGTCCCCTAGAGTCATCCAGAACAGGTCTAATCCCTCTCTTGCGTGACAGGCCTTCAGAAATTTGAAGACAGCTGCCTGGCTGGCCTGAGTCTGCACTGCTCCAGACCAAACTCCCCCACCCCCAACCCCACTCTGCCTTTCAGAGGGTCCTGATTGAGGCTCAGGGGAGTCCGGTGAGGCCATTTCATGTGCTGAAAAAGAAAAACACAGCCAGGGCTTGTGGGCTGTCCAGGGGCCAGA